CCAAATAATTAACATATCTTTCACGGACACGTTTAATGAGTTGTTCGTAATGTCGTAAGTTGTAACAGATCTATAATTTGTCTCTATAAAAAGTATATGGACAGATTTTTTGCTACAGAATGTAATTCTGCTAATTCCTTTTAATTTTATAATAAACATACGTTTTTATTAAATGAACTTTTTAAAAATGTACTTAAATTATTATTTTATTTTTACTTTTGAATAATTTAGTTATTTTTTTTTTGTTTTATTTATTATTTGAATAATTAAAAGATACACTAAAGGAATTTTGTGTATTTTATAACTATGAAAATGTCATTTTGTTTCGTGACGCAATTTTGGCATTTAGCCAAATGGTTAATTTCATGGATCAATATAAGTTTCGTTTGACCTTTATTTCTTCCGGATTCAATGTCTTGGTCAAAATGAATAAATAGTTCAAGTGTTATTAAGAAACACTTTTTTCAACCGGAATTATATTTTTAGTCATATTCAAGTAACGAAAACATCATTTAATCTGAAAAAAATAAGATACGATATTATCAAAGCGTTATATACGGCGCGATAATTGTTGATTTGTTATTGATTTGCTGCATACAAATTTTTATAAATTAAAAAAAATTAGACACACGAAAATAATGCAAAAATATTTAATTATTTCTTAATAAATAGTGATTTTTTTTGTCAACATCCTAGCATACAATAAGGAATTTTTGAAATGTTATAAGGTTAAATCTACTGTTAACGTAAAATTATGTGATATTTAGATAAATATCAATGAAAATCTGTTATTTATAATTATTATCGCTGTAGATAAAATTATCGAAAACAAAAATCTAATTAGAAAATATTTCTTTCGTCATTCATATGATGACATTCATATTTATATCGACAGGGGGCACTATACACTGTTACAGGATCTTATGTGAGGAAATCGGACATTTGATTGGAGAGTCACCTATTAAGGAAAGATTTTGAAATTTTGTGTATTGTTAATATTAATTGTATAAATGCAACATACAAGTATTAGTTTCATTTAGATATTTATTATTGAAATACATAGTTGCTTTCTCACGAGTATCCATCATCAAAATTACATTCGTCCTTAATTTAGAAATTTTTAACATAAGAGGTAAAAATGATTAATTTTACATGTTTAATAAGTGTAATGTGACTTAATTTAGTGTATTTATATTGAATTAAGCCTATTAATCTCTTATTATCAGCATCTGTTTTGGGATCAAGTACATTTCTTTTAGAAATTGAATAGCTTCATCTAATTATTATATTCAATATAATGACGAATTATGTTGTGTTGTTGTTATGAGCATTTAAAAACAATTCAGTAATTTACTTATATTTGCAGATATATGTCATTTGCTAGCTTCAGGAATTGAATTGTATCAAATTATATAAATGTCAATATGTTTTGGTTATTGATTGTGTAATTTAAATACAGCAATTTGATGTATACAAGTATTTGCAGCATTTTCTCATAATTTTATTCTCTTTCTTATTCTTTACAAATACTTTAATTCTATTGCATAAAAAAATCAAATTTGAATAGTAAAATATTTTATTCATAATTTCCAAATTTTTAAAAAAATTTTATTTCCTTTTTAAATATATAAATCTATACTTAATAGTACAGTATATACTATAAATATATACTGTGTATGTATAAATCAATATGAAAACATTGTTTTAATAAAGAAATTGAAGAAAGAACAGTTTCTTTATAGTTTATTATATTAAATTGTTTTTTTAATAAACTATAGTAATAGTTTATTAAAGAAAGAATTTTTCTTTTAATTGAATATTTTCACTTGTAACATTTGATTGATAAAAGTTGTCTTAAGTTTAGTTTATGAAATAAATTTATATAGAATATATAATGTACTGATACATTATTTGTTACTTCAAACAATATATGAGTAATTTTGTTTGTATAAAATTATAATTTTCAAAGCTTTCAGCTTTTAACTTCATTTACAGTTCATACAGAAATTGAATACTCTACAACTTGAAGGTTTTCTTTTGCAAAATGTTGTGTTTGAAATTGAATGTGTTAATTTTTTAAATTTTAGAAAATTTAACTGTTTTGATGTTGAAGCTTTTTCTTTAATTTATCTTTGTTTCATTATCCTCTGCATATTATAAGATTTAAGTCTGGTAAATTGATATTATTGTCTGTAAACTAAGTTTTGGTTGACTTCACTGCATGAGCTGGTGCAAAATATGGTTGGAAGATAAAATTCTCATTTGAATAAAGTTCTTCCATTGAAGGAATCAAGAAGTATTTTAGCAACTCTTGATTCCCTAAGGAATTTAAGTTACTTTTAATAGTTGTCAAATGGCCTACGTTTCTTGCAGACTTACATACCATAGCGAGAAAACAGTGCAAGGGGTGATAGGTCATTCCATTTGTAATTTAAGGTTATTAAAAGGAATTTTCTAGTCTTTTTATAACTTGATTGCTTGTATTATACTAAAAAAAACGGGTTTTGATTTTGGAGTATATACAGGAAAATAACCCAGAAAATTGAACAAATATAAGTTGCATGAAATATCCAATAATGTTAACAAAAATATAATTTTGAATGGGATTGTAGAAACAATTAAGCACTTATCAGAAAATGAAAACAAATTATGACCTGCGGATGTCACTAAAATTAGTTCAGACTCAGATTCTGGTGAGAGATATTCGTTGCTTACTACACCATCAATTTTGTTCTCATATCGACATGAGAACAAAGTGCACAATAGAAAAGTCAAATTTAACAATGAAAGAGAAATTGGACTTATTCATTAAACATAAAACGAGCATAGTCACTGATAACAGTAATATAAGTAAGTTTAAAAGTGTGAAAGATATAGTTTAAAAAGAATTGAATTATATCTTAGAGCAAAAAATACAAGGAACGTATCTTAAAAAGGTTTTCAATGCTCTAATGACAGTACATCCAACTAGTATTGATTCCAAGAGAGCTTTTTCTAATGCAGCTGCCATTTGTATGAAAATTAGATCTACATAGATTAGATGACAAGAGCCTACATGTATTATATTTGTTAAAAGCCTACTTTCAAAATAAAGAAAAACATAATTATCAGCATTATTTCAATGTTTCTTATGTCATAATAATTGCTATTACAAGAATTGTTTGTCTAAACCAGGGGTGGCCAACAGTTTTTGCCTCCAGGCCGGATTGGAAAGAGAACTTTTTCCATGGGCCAAACCAGAGGTTGCCCTAGGAAGATTTTGAGGTGGTGTGAGATCTCATTGTGGTGTCACCCCATAGAGACTGAATTGTAGATAGAGATTAGATACATTTCTCACATTATCATGCTTTATCAACACTCTATGCTATACTTAAGAGAATAATAACCATCCACGAAAAACCTTTTTTTACGAGTGTTATGTCTGTAGTAAATTCCACAAGTACTTTCGACCCCCACCGAGGTCTGCTTCAGGTGGTGACTGGCCGTGTTTCATCCCGACCATCGTAACGATGTTGCCAACGATGTAAATAAATAAATGTGCGCGTCGGGTTTCACCCCTCCGACTGACATTGTTTGAATTCCTCAAACAAATACTTCCACGTCTGTGCAAGCATTTCCCCATCCTTGAAGTTGATGCAGTTGCCCCCCTGATAGCTTTATGAATCTCCCAGGCCTCCAGGTGACGGATGTGATCTGCTCGGAACTCTTGTCTGATAAGTCTGGTGTTCCGGAAGTCCACCCTTATTTCAGGATCGGTAACAGGTCAATAACGCGGTGGTGTGTCTTTTATGTTTAATATCAACTTGATGTTTACGTATTCGTTTCTGTGTTGACCGGATGGTGGAGCCAATATAAACTAAGTCCCTATTGAATCTGTCGTCCCTGATGGGAATGGAGTAAACACCTGGGGCCCTGGTGAGATCCATTGCGTCCTTGGCGTTGCGCAGCAGGTCGTAAAGCGTGCTGGTTCTTAAGTATGCGATTTTGGTGTGGCTGTTGCTAGCAATCTCCCTATATAGGGGGTCTAAATGCTGGTTGAACCGGACGACCGCGCGTCTAACGTCCCTCAGTGGGGGTCGAAAGTTCTTGTGGAATTTACTACGGACATAACACTTGTAAAAAAAGGTTTTCGTGGATTGTTATACTTAAGAGATTTGTAATGGAGGGTTAACTCTAAACGCACAGTGAGTTGTTGACTTTATTTTTTTTTTAGGCATCAGAATTTTTCATTGAGCTATTTTGAAAAATTGATCATGGGCCACATAAATTCATTAGACAGGCCATATGTTGGCCATGCCTGGTCTAAACTGATAAAAAACTTGAAAATAAATGGTTGTCCAATAATTCTGTTAGTAATTCAGTTTCATTTTAAATTATTTGTTAATACGAATTTATTGGTAAATTACTGATAAACCAGTAATCCTGAATATAATTACCAAATTACCTGTAATATAATATCTGGTAAATTTGCAGTCACTAATCAGTACATCCCCTGAGTATTTGACATATTGCTTTAGTATTGATGGATAAAAAAACTTCTTTGGTTCTCCACACATATACACCTTGATCAGTGTAAGATACACTAAACGTTGATTTGTCACTGAAAATAATCTTATTCCAATATTTGAAGATTCAATTAATATAATGTTTATACCACTGAACTCATTTCTCTCTTTGTTTCATAGAGAAGAATGGTTTGTTTTGGAACAAGTTCATTTCATGAATTCTGCAAACTGTTGTACTGTGGGACACATGTACTGTACAGTACATTCTTCTTTTTCCATACAGAATGATAATATATGCTGGATTTAAAACAATTTATTTCCACATGTACTGTACAGTACATTCTTCTTTTTCCATACAGAATGATAATATATGCTGGATTTAAAACAATTTATTTCCACATGTACTGTACAGTACATTCTTCTTTTTCCATACAGAATGATAATATATGCTGGATTTAAAACAATTTATTTCCACATGTACTGTACAGTACATTCTTCTTTTTCCATACAGAATGATAATATATGCTTGATTTAAAACAATTTATTTCTTACTATTGTGTTTAGTTTATGTTCATCTCTCAAACTTTGAGTGTTTTCTTCTACAATATTCATGATTATTAACGATTTTCTTTTCTGAATTCATTTGTTTTAAGAATTTGATCTGTATATTGTAAATATTTAATGATTTTGGCAATTTCCAATTGAGATTTATCTTCATTTTGTAAAATTTGGATGGTTTTCTTGTTCAAGGTGATAAGTCTCTTGTTTCCCATTGCAATATAAATCACATATTTTGACAACAAAGATGTCAGACCATCTTAAACAATACATCTGTGTAACAACAAGTAATTCTAATAATAATTTTAAATATTCTAATTTTTTTGAAACAATAAATAATTAATTTTAATACTTTCATCTCTTCAAAAACTGGTTGTATGTAATGAAAAACACACACAAATATAGCCAAAACCAGTAAAATTATTTAAAACCGCTTCAAACTTTTATACAGGTAATCCCCATATAACACGGCACTTCTATAGCATGGATTCACTTTAACACTGTTCGGGAATTGGGTAAAACCCTCATAAAACATGAAATGTAATAAAGGTGCGTTCTTTTATACCTCCGCATAACTCCGCGCGAGCATTCTAATTGTTTTTGTGGCTACTTTGATTGCTCTTTCAATAAATAATCCATTTAATGGCTAAATTTTACAATTGGGCCTCTAAATTTTACAATTCTTTTGCCTCTAAAAGTTCATTTTAGAATTATAGATTCCTCCATCACGATACTATCGATGGTATGGACACCGCCATCTTTCTTTCACTGTTGTTCCTAAATGCCTACAAACAGCAGCGCACTCCCATTGCAGAGTGTCCACTATTAAGGAATGCGCCTAAAAACTGTTACCAGTTGATGATGCTCATGTTGAGATCATCATATAGGATGAATAATCTTCTGGTAAAATATTTACTTAAATAATAAGTATTTTACCTATGAAAGAAATGAATAATAAATCCGATTTAAATAAGAATTTCACAGCATGTTTTTTAATTTTTGGAACCTAACTCCCCTTTTCGCACTAGTTCTTTGTTTTGTATAACACAGATTTGCATAACACGGCAAT